CGTTTATGAAATTTTTCTCCGAACTGGGTGTACCGAATCATTTAAAAGTTTACAACGTGAATATGGAGGCTATAAGAAAGATCCCGACACTCATGAAACTCCATTTTTTAATAACAAATTATGAAAATATTTGTGAAGAAATTTAAAAAAAATTCAGGACCTTCCTTATACCCTCCATATTCACATTGTAATGTTTTAAAAGATTCAAAACGTCTACTTCGTACAAAAGTTTCATAAATGATTGATTCCTCGTTTTTCACTTTCACATCCCCTTAAGGTCTCATTTATTAAACATTTCTCCGAATTGGATGTACCAAATCGTTTTAAACTTGACAACGTGAATATGGAGTCTACAAAGAAGGTCCCGACACCCATTAAACTCCATTTTTTAATAACAAATTAAGAAAATATTTGTGAAGAAATTTAAAAAAAATTCAGGACCTTCCTTATACCCTCCATATTCACATTGTAATGTTTTAAAGGATTCAAAACGTCTACTTCGTACAAAAGTTTCATAAATTATTGATTCCTCGTTTTTCACTTTCACATCCCCTTAATCTCTATTCATTATTCATAAACGAGGTAATCAGAGAATTAACCGGTAATTTGTGTGATAGTGTCCGCATAGTTGCATGACGAACTATTAAACGAGGTTCATCGATCTGCGGTACTTAAGCGCCTTAATTATTAGCCAGGGACGTAATTAATGTTACCCTTTGTTATTTCTTAGTCGCTTTGCAGGGTAACATTAATTATGTACCGACTTAGTACATGCGAGCACAGCGAGCGGCTCGAATAAATAATTAGACCGAAGGGAAACGCAAATTGTAATACTGTGTCATGGCGCAGGCGCGGGAAAACGGAAGTATAAGTACTTCGTTCATGGATTTAGGAACAATGGGATGGAAAATGAAATTTCAAACTGAAACGCAAGACGCATTCAATGAGCGCTATCAGTTCATCATTCTATGTTTCATATTGACCAGGGTTGGATCATTTTTACTTTTTTCCAGATTTTTTACGTATATTATTCGTATATTATACGTATATTATACGTATATTATTCGTTTATTATACGTATATTATACATACCAATCATCTCATCAATATCAATTCATCATTCGATGTTTCACAATTTACCAGGGTTGGATAATTTTCAGTTTTTCCAGATTTTTTACGTATATTATACGTATATTATACATACCAATCATCTCAACTCATTCAAATAAATTCAAATAAATTCAAATAAATTCAAATAAATTCAAATAAATTCAAATAAATTCAAATAAATTCAAATAAATTCAAATAAATTCAAATAAATTCAAATAAATTCAAATAAATTCAAATAAATTCAAACAAATTCAAACGAATTCAAACAAATTCAAATAAATTCATATAAATTGTTTTAATCCCGAATAAATATTGCATCCAATTTATACGAATATATTCGAGTCCAATAATTATTCCTTGAACTAAGAAAATATTTCTTTGATTTAATGAAACTTTTTTCTCAGTGCAGACAAATAATGACGGTTCATTTTTACGTCTTGGATTTCATATCTTTTGTTCGCTTGAATTTTTTATACCCATCTCTGTTCCTAAATCCATGACTGCCTTAAAAGTACAATCGGATGCTTCTATTTCGCACCTTTCGCACCTTTCGTACTTTTCATACTTTTCGTACCTTCCACACCTTTCGCACCTTTCGCACCTTTCGTACGTCTCATACCTCTCGTACCTTTCGTACTTTCCGTACTTTTCGTACCTTTCGTACTTTCCGTACTTTTCGTACCTTTCGTACTTTTCGTATTTTTCGTACTTATCGTACTTTCGGTACTTTTCGTACCTTTCGTCCCTTTCACGAAGGTCGCATCAGTTTCGTACCTTTCATACCTTTCGCACCTTTCGCATCTTTCGCATCTTTCGCATCTTTCGCATCTTTCGCATCTTTCGCAGCTTTCGTACCTTTCGTACCTTTCGTACATTTCGTACCTTTCGTACCTTTCGCACCTTTCGTACCTTTCGTACCTTTCGTACCTTTCGTACCTTTCGTACCTTTCGTACCTTTCGTACCTTTCGTACCTTTCGTACCTTTCGTACCTTTCGTACCTTTCGTACCTTTCGTACCTTTCGTACCTTTCGTACCTTTCGTACCTTTCGTACCTTTCGTACCTTTCGTACTTTTCATACCTTTCGCACCTTTCGCACTTTTCGCACCTTTCGTACCTTTCGCACCTTTCGCACCTTTCGCACCTTTCGCACCTTTCGTAACTTTCGCTAAGGTCGCCTCACCTTCTACCTCGTTTATTCCAAGGTAAAGACAATTGTCAGGAATCCTTCGAAGGGTCGCACCGATAAGGACTAACTTAGGCGTCTCTAAGAGTTAGTGGTAACATTGGTTCCTTAATACCTTGTACAAAGAGATCACTTATCTCGTCCTGTAAGGAATCCCTTGGTCCTCGAGCCGTCCTTATCAGCCCTGGAATGGCCTCGAGACATCTTTCGCGTTTTTTGGAGCAGCGAGCTTCATCTGAACCGTCCAGCATCCTTATTTTCGGAAGGACCAGTCATCATCAGCGAATGTCGATCATTCTTATCTCGAATCTCGCAAATTTCCTGCAAACGCAAATTATGAACATGAATTGGACAATGGTTATGATAAAGTCATCTGCATATGCACTGATCATGATATTTCATACATGAATCCGAATCATGATGATTAGCCTAGATTTGAATGCATCCTTGTCTTCGCAAGGACCAATCATCATCATCGAATGTTAATCATTCCTATCTCGAATCTCGCGAACTTCCTGCAAACGCAAATTATGAACATGACTTGGACATAATATTTGGTCATGATATTTCATACATGAATCCGAATCATGATGGTTAGCCTAGATTTGAATGCATCCTTATTTTCGGAAGGACCAGTCATCATCAGCGAATGTCGATCATTCCTATCTCGAATCTCGCGAATTTCCTGCAAACGCAAATTATGAACATGACTTGGACATGATATTTCATACATGAATCCGAATCATGATGATTAGCCTAGATTTCAATGCATCCTTATTTTTGGAAGGACCAGTCATCATCATCGAATGTTAATCATTCCTATCTCGAATTTCGCGAACTTCCGGCAAACGCAAATTATGAACATGACTTGGACATGATATTTGGTCATGATATTTCATACATGAATCCGAATCATGATGATTAGTCCAGATTTGAATACATACTTGTCTTCGCAAGGACCAATCATCATCATCGAATGTTAATCATTACTATCTCCAATCTCGCGAATTTTCTGCAAACGCAAATTATGAACATGATTTGGACAATGGTTGTGGTTAGGTCGTTTGCATGTGCACTGATCATGATATTTCATACATGAATCCGAATCATGATGATTAGTCTGACGTGGAACGCGTTGAAGATGTTGTTGGGCATTGCTGGACCAACGTTAGACAAATGAATTTCGGCATTGTATTGATATGAACTGAGCATAACTTTGGAAATAGTCACGATTAGGACGTTTGAATGCGCACTGATCATGGCACTTTACACATGAATCTGCATCATGATGATTAGTCTGATGTGGAACGCGTTGAAGATGTTGCTGGGCAGTGCTGAACCAACGATAGATGAATGAATTTCGGCATTATATTCATATAAACTGAGCATAACTTTGAAAACAGTCATGGTTAGGCCATTTGCACATGCACTGATCATGATACTTTTTGCATGAATCTGCATCATGATGATTAGTCTGATGGGGAACGCGTTGAAGATGTTGTTGGGCAGTGCTGGACCAACGTTAGACGAATGAATTTCGGGATTACATTGATATGAACTGAGCATAACTTTGAAAATAGTCACGATTAGGACGTTTGAATGCGCACTGATCATGGCACTTTACACATGAATCTGCATTATGATGATTAGTCTGATGCGGAACGCGTTGAAGATGTTGTTGGGCAGTGCTGGACCAACGATAGACGAATGAATTTCGGCATTATATTCATATAAACTGAGCATAACTTTGAAAACAGTCATGGTTAGGCCATTTGCACATGCACTGATCATGATACTTTTTGCATGAATCTGCATCATGATGATTAGTCTGATGGGGAACGCGTTGAAAATGTTGTTGGGCATTGCTGGACCAACGATAGACGAATGAATTTCGGCATTACATTCATATAAACTGAGCATAACTTTGAAACTTGTCACGATTAGGTCGTTTGCATGCGCACTGATCATGGCACTTTGCACATGAACCTGCATCCTGATGATAAGTCTGATTTAAAATGCGTCAAAGGAGACGTTGGTCAGCAACAGGACCGATGACAACATCCCAACATAATTTCCACCCTGCACCACACATACCCTCAAAACTAGTACGATCTTTCCCAATGCGTATGGAAACGACCTCACAACCTTATCAGTCAGAATCAGTGAAGGCAAGGATACATACTCTCCAGAAGAAGTCCCTGGACCACCTCTTAGTACCCCAGCATCCCGCTGGAGCGCCCCAAGCGCGGCGCCTCAAAAGGGCCCTTTGATCTCCTCCACGACCTGTACCATTCGTTTCCGCCGACGTCCCTATCCATCTCCCCTGGTCCTGGGTCCCGGTAGAACCTGGAGAGAGACGTCGGGCTCGTCCGGGAAGAGGAAGCTGCGAGGAAGGAAGAGAGCTAGACCCGCGGAGAGGCTCCAGCGGGAAGAAGAAGCGGCGCGTTGGGTCCACTTTCGGCATAGTTAGGCACGCTATCAGCCACTTGCTGACTCTGATGGGTCTGATAGGCCGGACTGTTGCCGGGATTGCTTCCTGCCCGATTGTGAGACGGAGATGTCGAGACCGGAAGTCCTGCCGGGGCTCCGTTTCCAGTCGCCGTCGTGGAGTTGCGGGCGCAACTTTGGGCCTGGACCTGGGCCTGGACCTGGCCTTGGGATTGACCCTGGCTTTGGGCCTGACCCTGGCCTTGACCCTGGGGGTGACACAGCTGACCCACTGGGCTCGAACGTTGCATCGATATCGCAGGGATCTGGGTTATCGTCGGGGCTGGTCTGATCTGTTGGACGTTGTTGTTGGTTGGTTTCTCACCCTGGAGCCAGTAGGTCGTCATGGTGCCTTTGCCCTGGAACATGGAAAGATTGATTAACGTCAGGATAAGACTTAACTAGGAAGCCATTTGGCATGAATAACTTGTCATCCTAGGTGCCCCATATCGAAAAATGTGTGACACTTCAATCTAGGACCACATTGACAGATTCTTTTCCCAGCTATATTTTTATCAGTACTTTTGCACATTTTTTTCACGGGTCCACATTAGAATTTCCAAGCTAGGTGTAAGATAGACCCTAGATCAAATTTCATCCTCCATCCAAGGCAATTTTTGCTGATGGACACCTATTAGGAATTAATGTGTCATGAACAATTTTACATCCTAGATACCCCATATCGAAAAATGTGTGACACTTCAATCTAGGACCACATTGACAGATTCTTTTCCCAGCTATATTTTTATCAGTACTTTGATAAATGTTTTTCACGGGTCCACATTAGAAGTTCCAAGCTAGGTCTAAGATAGACCCTAGATCAAATTTCATCCTCCATCCAAGGCAATTTTTGCTGATGGACACCTATTAGGAATTAATGTGTCATGAACAATTTTACATCCTAGATACCCCATATCGAAAAAAGTGTGACACTTCAATCTAGGACCACATTGACACATTCTTATCCCAGCTACATTTTTATCAGTACTTTGATAAATGTTTTTCACGGGTCCACATTAGGATTTCCAAGCTAGGTCTAAGATAGACCCTAAATCAAATTTGATCCTCCATCCAAGGCAATTGTTGCTGATGAACATCTGTTAGGAATTAACGTGTCATGAACAACTTTACATTCTAGAACACCCTAGATGAACCATACCCAAAAAACGGGTAACACATCAACGTAGAACCAAAATTGCCACTTTCTTCCCACCCAAGTCATAGCGACCCTTCCAGATTTTGGACTTAGGAAGTTGCAGTGCGTCAATTTTTGCTGATGAACATCTATTAGGAATTAACGTGTCATGAACAACATTACATTTTAGAACACCCTACATGAACCATACCCAAAAAAAGGCGTAACACATCAACGTAGAACCAAAAATGCCACTTTCTTCCCACCCAAGTCGCTATTAGCGACCCTTGCAGATGTTGTACTTAGAAAGTGGCGGTGTATCAATTTTTGCTGATGAACATCTATTACGAATTAACGTGTCATGAACAACTTTACATTCTAGATCACTCTAGATAAACCATACCCAAAAAACGGTTAACACATCAACGTAGAACCAAAATTGCCACTTCTTTCCCATCCAAGTCATAGCGACCCTTGCAGATTTTGTACTTAGGAAGTCGCTGTGCGTTTTTCTCGCGGAATCCGCTTAGCGGAAAAAATCCCGGGGCATTCCCACGGGATCGGCACGAGGTGATGACACCGAAAGTTGAATATCGCAGGAATGCAACTATTCGCCGTGAAATATTCGAGGTGATTCGACCTCTTCATGGTCAAGAGGCCGTAATTACAGGTGAGGTGGAGGCATAGTTTCACGCATATTCCGGGAACGTGAGGGTGTGCGTTAATTAGATGCTTGGAAACATTACACCATAACGGTGCAATGGCTGCTGTACAGGCGGTACACTGTTAAGTGTGAAACGTTTAACCAGAAGGGTTAAGGAACGTGTGCAGAAGATAAGTGTTTATGAGTCCAGCGTAATGAGGATGGCATTACCGATGACCGCGCTTAATTCTCGTATCTGTCGGCAGATAGGCTAGTAAAATTATTTAAAAAATCCGGAATAACATTTCGAAGTGAGGAGAAACTTTGGAACTTTTCAATCTGTGATAAAAAGTGTTGGGAGTGGAACAAAAGGCATTTTATTCGAAGCCAGGGGAATTTGTTTTGTTAAAAATTAATTGTTAAGGATTTCATTTGCTTTCGAATGCAAAGGGAAAGTTTGTTCATTGTTAACGTCGATAAATAAGCCAGGGAAATAATTTAAAAAATCCGGAATAACATTCTGAAGGGACGAGAAACTTTGGATCTTATAATTATATATCACACTTTCATATCACCTTAATGCTAGGGGAATTTAGAAAGGACTCTATTCCCCTNAGGGCCTCCATTCCCTTGAAATTCCCTATCTTGGATTCGTTGACCACCTCGTGTAATTTCCTATCTAGGAAAAGTTTTACAAATATTTTGACTTTTTGGTATGTTTTTATTGCACTTTCATGTCACCTTAATGCTAGGGGAATCCGGAAGGGCCTCCATTCCCTTGAAATTCCCTATCTTGGATTCGTTGACCACCTCGTGTAATTTCCTATTTAGGAAAAGTTTTACAAATATTTTGACTTTTTGGTATGTTTTTATTGCACTTTCATGTCACCTTAATGCTAGGGGAATCCGGAAGGGACTCCATTCCCTTGAAATTCCCTATCTTGGATTCGTTGACCACCTTGTGTGAAGCATACATGCTGGGTGCAATAACACCGTTATCCGGTTTATGGTCTTATTGCACCAGTTATGGTGGTTCAAAATGGTCGACATGTAATGTATGTATATACACGAAGTGCTTCGAGTTCCATTACCTTCAACGTGACCTCTCCTCTACAAACGAGGTCGAACGTCCCGAACGTGTCCAGGATCTCCTTGGTCTTCGGACTGACGTGTATCTTGAGAGCTGTTAAAACAGAAAGAGCCATCTTGAATCTCGGTAAAACGGAAATAGGGTAGAGACTACAACCACCATCGCCGTTTCTAACCTAAATGGATGGATAGGTATAATATACGTATATTAGATGTACATGGAATGTCTATATGTCTAGGGGAAAACTATATCATTCACTTTCTAAATTTTCGGTTTTGTCAAGTTCTGAGATAGTCATTGTAAATTTTTGTCCTTGTTAAATTCCGAGATAGTCATTGTAAATTTTCGTCCTTCTCAAGTTCCTCGACAAGTCCCTGTCAAGAGATAGTCATTGTAAACTTTCGTCCTTATCAAATTCCGAGATAGTCTTTCAAACCCTTCGTCCTTCTCAAGTTCTGAAATAGTCATTGTAAATTATCGTCCTTGTCAAGTTCCACGACAAGTCCCTGTCAAGAGATAGTCATTCTAAACTTTCGTCCCTATCAAATTCCGAGTTAGTCTTTCAAACCCTTCGTCCTTCTCAAGTTCTGAAATAGTCATTGTAAATTATCGTCCTTGTCAAGTTCCACGACAAGTCCCTGTCAAGAGATAGTCATTCTAAACTTTCGTCCCTATCAAATTCCGAGTTAGTCTTTCAAACCCTTCGTCCTTCTCAAGTTCTGAAATAGTCATTGTAAATGTTCGTCCTTGTCAAGTTCCACGACAAGTCCCTGTCAAGAGATAGTCATTCTAAACCTTCGTCGTTACCAAATTCCGAGATGGTCATTCTAAGCCTTCGTCTTTATCAAGTTCTGAGATAGTCCTTGTACATTTTTTTGACCTCGCATAGTCATTATAAATTCTCGTCGGACTTACCTTCGCCGTTGCTCTCCATTCTCGACGCAGTGTTGACTGTATCGCCGAAGAGGCAATATCTCGGCATTTTTAAACCAACCACACCTGCCACACAGGGTCCTGAAAAAAGAGAAAGATAGTCCCGCAAATTAGTCGACGACTTCGCGGTTATTACACAAAAGTATAGTCTCCATTCGTAAGTTGGACGTCATTAAGGCGATGTCTTCATCGCGAGGACCGAATTAACGGCGGAATGGAAATCGGGGCTTAATTTAAAAGCAGAGTGATTTTTTAATTACCTTTTATTTTTATTTATTACACTTTTACTTTATTATTATTACTTAATATTTTTTTAATCATTTTTCATTATTTACATATTGGAATAGGATTTTAATTAATTAATTACATTTCATGATTGCATGATATCCGAACACAGATTTAAAAAGTTATACAATCAAGGAAGAAATTGACAATACTCGATGTCAAAGAAGGAATATTTTTGTTGTCACGGAAAAAGTGTCCAATATTGGAACATTATTGTTGTCAAGTAAAAAATTGCCAATATACGAACATTATTGTAGCCAAGGAAGAAATTGCCAATATTTGTTACCAAGGACGGAACGTTATTGTTGTAAAGTAAAACATTGCCAATATTCGAACATTATTGTTGTCAAGGAAAAAATTGCCAGTATTCGTTAACAAGGACAGGACATTATTATTGTCAAGTAAAAAATACCCAATATTGGGAAATTATTGTGGCCAAGGAAAAAATTGCCAATATACGACCATTATTGTTGCCAAAGAAAAAATTGCCAATATTCGTTACCAAAGAGGGAACATTATTGTTGCCATAGACAAAATTGCCAATATTCGTTACCAAGTAAAAAATTGCCAATATTGGAACATTATTGTTACCAAAGAAAGAAATTGCCAATATTCGTTACTAAGGAGGAATCATTAATATTGTCAAGTAAAAAATTGCCAATATTGGAACATTATTGTTACCAAAGAAAGAAATTGCCAATATTCGTTACTAAGGAGGAAACATTAATATTGTCAAGTAAAAAATTGCCAATATTCGTTACCAAGCAGGAAACATTAATATTGTCAAGTAAAGATTACCAATATTGGAACATTATTGTTGCCAAGTAAACAATTGCCAATATTGGGACATTATTGTTGCCAAGAAAAAAATTCACAACATTGGAGCATTATTGTTGCCAAGTAAACAATTGCCAATATTGGAGCATTATTGTTGCCAAGGAAAAAATTCCCAATATTGGAACATTATTGTTGTCAAGTAAACAATTGCCAATATTCGTTACCAAGAAGAGAACCGTAACAATACTTGAAAATTAACAATGCACCCAACGTAATTGGGTTCAATTCTCCCTTTATTGTGTTAATTAACAATACATGAAAAAGAGTGACGTTCCAACATAAGCTTCATATATCTATCTTGTTATCATAGACATATCCTGTTATCACAGTTACTTCCAAGTCAAGGCTCGATTTTTCACGTGGAAAAAAGCAGACAGGAGTGCTCCATCTTGAGATTTTTCAATTTAAATTGCGACAATTTTCCAGGGATAGTGGTCGAATTTTTTTTATCCGAGCGGAGGAAGATTAATGAAAAAACGAAGATGGGTGCGAACCGGTAGGCTCGGTTAATTGATGGTCCGGAAAGTCAGCCAGCCAGGCTCGACAAATTGCCGGGGATTTTCCAATATTTCAACGTCCCCAAGGAGCGGCTTCGGGACTGTCGCCTCCAAGAAGACGGAAAATCTTCGTTTAATAAAAACCAGGGTCAAAGATTTCAATCTTCGCGGATGTTTTATCAAAATCGACGTATAAAGTCTCCCGTCGATATTTTATCAGGTCCTATTCGTTATTTAATGGATAATTCAATTCAATTCAGATTATAAAACAGAAACGCGTGATTGGAGAATCGTCTAATATAAACTAACCTAACCTAACCTACCCTAAACGTTAATTATTAATTCCAGTCCTCGTGGGATTCAAATGTGGGATTTCAATCCATCCCAGATAGCCTAACCTAATCTAACATAACCTAACCTAACCTAACCTAAACTGTTTCCCCCCAAGAAGAAGGAAAATCGCCGTTTAATAAAAACCAGGGTCAAAGATTTCAATCTCCAAGGATGTTTTATCAAAATCGACGTATAAAGTCTTCCTGTCGATATTTTATCAGGTTCTATTCGATATCATTCATATCATTCATATCATTCATATCATTCATATCATTCACATAATTCATATAATTCATATAATTCATATAATTCATATAANTTATTGCGCCCAATAATTACATTATATATACGCAATAATTATATTATATATACGTAACAATAATTTTACGATCGTTTACTCACTTTGGAAGGAGCTGATATAGCAATTCCTCGCACTTCCGCTTCTCCTCGAGGTAATCGGCGGTTCTCTCCTCCACCAAAGTCTCCAAATTGTTGGCGTATTGTTCCATACGAGAGAGCAGATTGTCCAATATGTTGCTGCTCTCGTAATCTCTGGAACAAGATAAGATATGACGTTATCAAAAGTTACTATCAGTATAGAAGGAACTGCAAAGAGATATTACAGTGAAAGTTAACATTTACATTTGTTATTATTAAAGTGTAGTGTATATACTTGGCGCGAAACTCAACCGAGCTTCTTAACCCAACCAAACCATAAGAGTGCGTTTCTCTTATCGCATTCGCATTTAATAATTATTCATGGAAATTTTATATACAGCAGGTCTATATATGCACCCTGTAATGGTTACAATGATTATAATTGTCGTAATAATGACATTTTAAATCCATTAATTGTAATATTGTCATTTTAAATCCCTTAAGTCTAGTAATGTCATTTTATGTCCCTCCGCAAATTCGGCCATCATAATAAAAAAATTATAATAAATGCAATTGGCGCGAAACTCTACCGAGTTTCAGGATATATCAAATTATATATCCCTTAATCATAATAATGTCATTTTAACTCCCTCCACAAATTCGGCCATCATAATAAAAATTATAATAAATGCATTTGGCGCGAAACTCTACCGAGTTTCAGGATATATCAAATTATATAACAGTACGTTCTATGTACGTAAAACAGCATATTCTATATATGTAAAGCAGTACATTTTATATATGTAAAACAGTACGTTCTATATACGTCTGGCCGTGCATTTTATGTACGTAAAATAGTACGTTCATAATTCATATAATTCATATAATTCATATAATTCATATAATTCATATCATTCATATAATTCATATCATTCAGATCATTCAGATCATTCAACAGATCTTGATACAAAAATGTGTCACTGCAGAATCGTTCAATATAAACTAACCTAACCTAGCCTAATCTAACCTGACCTAACCTAAACTGTCTCCTCTCCTAGAAGATGGAAAATCGCCGTTTAATGAAAATCCCGGTTAATAATTTCAATCCTCGTGGGATCCAAATGTGGGATTTTAATCCATTCAATATAGCCTAACCTAATTTAACCTAACCTAACCTAACCTAAACTGTTTCCCCTCCAAGAAGACGGAAAATCACCACTTAATGAAAATCCGGATTGATGATTTCAATCCTTGTGGGATCCAAATGTGGGATTTTAATCTATCCCATATAGCCTAACCTAATTTAACCTAACCTAAACTGTTTGCCCACCAAGAAGGAAAATCGCCGTTTAATGACAACCCGGGTTAATAACTTCAAGCCTCGTGGGATCTAAATGTGGGATTTTAATCCATGCAATATAGCCTAACCTAATTTAACCTAACCTAACCTAACCTAACCTAACCTAACCTAACCTAAACTGTCTCCCCTCCAAGAAGAAGGAAAATCGCCGTTTAATGAAAACTCGGGTCAAAGATTTCAATCCTCGCGGATGCCTTATCAAAATGGATCTATGAAGTCACCAATACTGGTTCATTTAGTGCAGTTCATTAGCTTCGAAATGTTCATCTGCGGTAATTACTTGTTCATTCCACCGAAACCCTGTTAAATCGAAGCGAGCATAGAAATGATTTTTTTCCAAACAAAGACACTTTTTTCGCTCGATTTAATCACGGCTTAATGAACTAATTAATTAATGAACATTACCAGAGTGCATCCCGATCCGAAGTTTCAGCTGCTCGTTTTGTCTATGGCGAATCCTGAACGTCATGACAGTGTCTCGAAGTGCCAAGCTCATCCTCGCTATTTCCCTGGCATGATTCATTCCATTTCTCACTGGCAATCCTGAAACAACCATGTACGCGTCTCCTATCGTCTCCACCTGAAACAAACATTGTCAGGAATGACAATGAATTAAGATGATATGAAAGAGTCAGACTATGTGTATATATACGAGTTCCTCGCTCAAATGTATTTGGTTCGAAACACTACCGAGTTTGTCGCTCGAATGTATTTGGCTCGAAACTCTACTGAGTTTCTCAAATGTAATTGGCTCGACACTCTACTCAGTTTCTCGCTCAAATGTATTTAGCTCGAAACTCTACTCAGTTTCTCGCTCAAATGTATTTAGCTCGAAACTCTATCGATATCCTCGCCCAAATGAATTTGGCTCGAAACTCTACCGAGTTTCTCAAATATATTTGGCTCGAAACTCTACCGACATTCTCGCTCAAATGTAATTGGCTCGAAACTCTACCGACATTCTCGCTCTAATATATTTGGCTCGAAACTCTACCGAGTTTCTCAAATATATTTGGCTCGAAGCTCTACCGACATTCTCGCTCAAATGTATTTGGCTCGAAACTCTACCGAGTTTCTTGATCTGAGAAGTCAAAACGTTGGGGAAAGTATTCCCTGAATTGGGGGTGCCGATTAGTTTGAAATTTCGCCACGGGGACATGGAGGCGCTAAAGTAGGTCTTTAAACTCATGAAATTTCATTTGCGGGTTGCATATCCATGGGGAATTCTTAAAAGTCCTTAATCGGGCCTTTAACCAGCCGTGCTTAAATCAGCCGTCGCTAAACCGCGGTTAACGGTTGATTAACCTCCGTCAGGAGGATACCAGAGGCGCTTAATTAAGCATTACGCGCTTATTAAGGATCCGCTTGGGGTACCCTATAAATCCTATAAATACGAGGCGAACGGTTTAACGTCGCCGATCAGACGTAATCGGCTTTCTTCGCAGATCGGATCGCTCGGCGTTTATATCGCGCCGATTAAGCAATAATGAGGCTCATGACCTCAATTGATAAGCACTAATTAGGGAATGAACGTTTTTTACGACAATTTTATACACGTAAACGTAGTATATACATATTTTGAACCTTTCATATACGTAGATTGACCCTTTCGTATCGCCTCAAATGTTCGTATTATATTTCAAATTTTTAAGTGCGCTTATATGTTTTAATTGCACAGAATATCTTTTCAATACTTTAATTGGCGCGATTTAAGCAATAATGAGGTTCACGACCTGAATTGATAAGCACTAATTAGGGAATGCACGTTTTTTACACCAATTTTATACACGTAAACATAGTATATACGTATTTTGAACATTTGATATACGTAGATTGACCCTTTTTTAACGTCTTAAATGTTCATATGGTATTCCAAATCTTTAAGTGTGCTCATATGACTTAATTACAGTGAATATCTTTTCAATACTTTAATTGGCGCGATTTGAGCAATAATGAGGCTCATGACCTCAATTGATAAGCACTGATTAGGGAATGCGCGTTTTTTACAACAATTTTGTATACATAAACGTAGTATATACATATTTTGAACCTTTGATATACGTAGAATGACCCTTTCGTAACTCTTAAATGTTCATAACGAATTGTTGGAAACTTTAAATTAATTAAATCAACGTTTTGAAAACGGGCGATAATAATAAATAAGCTTGCAGAATGTAGAAATGTACAAAAATCGTTTTCATGTATTATATGTAATTAAATTAAATTTGTATAAACAATCACCGAACTCACCATGTACACGTTAAAATTCTCGATTATGGAATCAGAACAGGTGTATAGGTTGTTTAAAAAATAGAAAAGGTAGAAAAAGGTAGAAAAGGTAGAAAGGGTACAAAAGGTAGAAGTGGTAGAAAAGGTAGAAGGGTAGAAAGGGTAGAAAGGGTAAAAAGGGTAAAAAGGGTAGAGGGGGTAGAGGGGGTAGAGGGGGTAGAAAGGGTAGAAAAGGTAGAAAAGGTAGACAAGGTAGAAATGGTAGAAAAGGTAGAAGTGGTAGAAATGATAGAAATGGTAGAAATGGTAGAAAAGATAGAAAAGATAGAAAAGAAAGAAAAGAAAGAAAAGGTAGAAAAGGTAGAAATGGTAGAAATGGTAGAAAAGATAGAAAAGATAGAAAAGAAAGAAAAGGTAGAAAAGGTAACTTAAAAGGTTCTACGCAAGGCCCTAACACAAATTAAATTAAATTTGTATAAACAATCACCGGACTCACCTTGTAGACGTCAAAATTCTCGATAATGGAGTCGAAACAAGTGTACAGGTCGTTTAAAAGGTCGACCACCTGTAATGGCGTACTTTCGGCAGAGAGACTCGTGAAACCGACGATATCGCTGAAGTAAATTGTAACTTGGTCATATGTCTCAGCAATCACGCTTTGGCCAAGAATCAGCTGAGATGCCACGGATCTGTAAATAAAAATGATAAAAGATAAGGATAGTTTCAAAATGCCACTATCTAATAACCTTAAAGTAGTGGAAGTCACGTTTTATATACGTAATATACGATGATACGTAAATACGTTCTATATACGTAAAGCAGTACATTTTATATATGTAAAACAGCACGTTCTATATACATTAAACAGTATGTTCTATGTATGTAAAACAGTACGTTCTATATACGTAAACAGCACGTTTTATATATGCAAAATAGTACGTTCTATATACGTGAAACAGTATGTTCTATATATGTAAAACAGTACGTTCTATATACGTAAACAGCACGTTTTATATATGTAAAATGATACGTTCTATATACGTGAAACAGTATGTTCTATATACGTGAAATAGTACGTTCTATGTACATAAAACAGTACGTTCTATGTACGTAAAACAGCATATTCTATATATGTAAAGCAGTACATTTTATATATGTAAAACAGTACGTTCTATATACGTCTGGCCGTGCATTTTATGTACGTAAAATAGTACGTTCTATATACGTCTGTCAGTACATTTTATGTATGTAAAACAGTACGTTCTATATACGTCTGGCTGTGCATTTTATATACGTAAAACAGTACGTTCTATATACGTCTGGCAGTACATTCTATATACGTGAAATAGTAAATTCTATATAAGGCTGGCAGTGTATTTTATATACGTAAAACGGTACATTCTATATACGTCTGGCAGTACATTTTATATATGTAAAACAGTACATATTATGTACGTAAATAGCATGTTTTATATACATAATACGTTCTATATACATCTGACGTAAAGCAGAAGGACCCTCCGCCATTTTGCTATATTTCCCTATAGAGAGGTGATCGATTGTATGCAGGAAAGTCGATCACGTTCGAGACATTAATTATTCTCGAGATATATCCCACGTGGAGCGTCGACGATAGAAAATGGAACGGAAACGCGTCGGGGATGAGCGAGGGCTTGTCTGGTTAAAGATATTTCCGGCCGCCATTTTGTAAAATGGTATCGATTGCCTTGTAATAATAAAATCGGATATTTTACGAAATGTAATAATTACTGTACACAATAATTACATTGTATATACGTAATAATTACTGTGTGCAGTAATTACATTATATACACGTAATAATTATTGTATGCAATTATTGCATTATATATACGGAATAATTACTGTGCGCAATAATTGCATTATATATACGTAATAATTACTGTGCGCAATAATTACATTATATATACGTAATAATTATTGTATGGAGTTATTGCATTATACATACGTAATAATTACTGTTCGCAATAATTACATTATATACACGTAGTAATTATTGTATGCAATTATTGCATTCTATATACGGAATAATTACTGTGCGCAATAATTGCATTATATATACGTAATAATTACTGTGCGCAATAATTACATTATATACACGTAATAATTATTGTATGCA